AAAATTCAACCCCAAGAACTGCCTGCAATGTCAGTGATATTTATTGCCCTTCCTGGGAATCAAGGTGGAATATTTTATGATATTCTTAAGGTGGCCCTATCTCAGGCAATTCTTTGTTTATCCAGTGCAAAATTTGGCTTGTTCCACTAGTGTTAAATAGGGTTTATTTGGAGATGACTGTCATGGCTTTGGCAGCCACACAAGAGTAAATGTGACCTGCTGGCATTCCTTTCCAGTTTACAAAGACACGCCAAAATATCTGGGTTCTGCCGTGGGCATCTTGGAATAAATAGTTTTACTGTACTTTTAACTATTACTTTGAAGCAGAGGAAGCAAATCCTGCAAATGCTTAGCACCATGTGGATTGGCACAGGTGCTTACAGGATCTGTATTATTGGGGTCTGTATTAGTCGCTATGTAATATTATTTAGTACAAGGTAGATAATTCCACATACACATGCAAGAGTCAACACCAGGCTTATTTTATCCAACTCTGTAGGCTGGTCTAGCAGGCCAGTCAAAGGTGAAAACATTATTTTAATTGTAGTAAACTATACAGAATAGTAGTTCTGTGTTGCTATGATGCTGACATCAGATGTGAATAGGGAGTTTCCTCTTCTGTCCCATTCTTTCCATCAAATATCACTTCCACGTAGCCCTAAATTTTGCTAATTCAGTTGTTTTAATGGCACAGGCTACACTGGACCACCTAAATGAAAAGAAGATAACCATCTAAAAAGCTCCCTAAACTTGATCTGCCACTTGTGCTCTCTGATACACAGAACATCAAGACTGAAAGTTGATGGTGGCAGTATTGGTTATATAACACGTATATGTGCTATATATCAGGTATGACTTTACCAGGTAGCATGGTAATAATATAGACTTGTTTCCCTAACAAAGGAAAAATGCATTTCTATTTTGTGTCTATAGTGTTTTCTGTATTATTGAAAGATGATGTCAACTCTTGTTTTACCACTCTTAGATCAGATCCATAGAGAAATTATCAGATTAATTGAGAACAGACTGAACTAGTTATCAAATCTCATTACGACCACCCATTATTATGGGTACTCAGTGTCACATTATAGAGGAAAAAGTTGTAACATTCATCTTAATGTCCATTGTCTTCATTGTGTACTTTGTCTTGGACATGCAAAATATCTCAGTTTAAAAACAGGAAAACAAAAAAACCCAAAAGGTATATATTAAGTTAGAACAAAGTTTCTCTGGAGGATAGTAATAAACAAATGATAGAAAGTTACAAGGAAGTTGAAAACTAGTAAAAAAAAATCCCAAATCCACAAATAATAACTGGGTGAGTATGGAGACAGACCAAAATCTTGCCTGTATTCCACAAAATCAAGAGTAATACTCCCCTCTCCACATACAAATTATATATCTTCATTTGTTTCTTTTCTCTATTCTTTTATGCAATAAATTGACAATACAAATGAGAAAGAGGTTTGTCCATAGTGATTCAGCATATAACAACCATATTAACATCATATGTTTACAAACATGTTAACATCATAGAAATTCACACTTTTTCAAACAGATAGTTGTAGAAATTAAGATTTTTTTTAAATTGCCATGATGCTATCTCATGTTCCTAGAAAAAAACTTCTAGACGTCTAAATAATTCTAGCCTACAAAAACAACTTCTAGAGGAACTCCAATAACCTGTGAGGTTAGTAGACTGAGTAGCCTGATGCAAAAGATTCTGTACTTAGTTCATTTGGGTTAATCAAACTTACAGTCTCTGCAAAGTAGGGGTAACCTAGATCATAAATTAAGCAACTTTCCAGCCAAAGACAGATGCCCTTAGCAGACATTAAATGATGAATCAGCTGTATTACTGGATGAGTATATGCTTCATGACTCCCACAATATCGATAGAAAGAGCACAATGGATTGATGCTTTTTTTGATTTTGTTTGTTTTGGATTTTTTTGTTCAAGCAACAAGGTTAACAAGAGCCAGAACTACAGCCAGAACTACACAGGCCCTATCAAAGATAATCTTTTTAGCTGTATAGTTACTATAGGCCACCTAGAAAGGATAGCACAGAGACATTCATTGAAGACCAGAGACAGAGCAGATACCCTTTTGCTCTCTTCCTTTCTATTGCTGCTACTTCAAGTAAAAACTGATGCTGTTTCAAGAAAGAGATTATGTTGAGGATATCCTATTGTTCTTAAATTAATATTTTTCTTAGTAAGACCATATGCAGGTGACATAAGGTAGAGAAACCAAGGCCTGTTCTAACCAAGGGTCGAAAAGTTTAATCCCTCATACAGGAGCTGCAGCACAGAGGACTGTTTTTAGTTACCTTTGGAGTCAGCCCTCTGAGCAGATTAGACTCATCTTAGGATCTGGTCCAGAACATGTGGCAAAAGTGAGATATGTATTAAAGAATATGTCTCAACTTCCAATAATACTATATGAAAAATATCCATTTGCTATACTAGAACTGAAACAAAAAAAAAAAAAAAAACAAAAAAAAAAAAAAACAAAAAAAAAAAAAAAAAACCAAAACAAAACAAACATACATGTTGAGCATAAACCATGAGAAATGTAGCAGTTGAAAGTCTCCTGTGTTATACACCAAAAATACAGCATACTGTGTGTAAGACTGTTCAGGAGTTTAGTGAACCTATAGATACATGTTTTTCCCAGGACTAAAATCATATGTTGTTCTCATATCAGTTCAACATACAATTTTAATCAACATATAAGGCTAGCTGTACCCTTCACACCTGCCAGATCAGCATGTTCTATAAAATTCACAGCGAGGTAACAGACAGCAACCTCCGCATATTTTATCAGTAGTTAACTAAAAAGAGAAAAAGAACAGTGAAGTAAGAAACAGAAAAGGAAGTAAAAGCCACATGTCTTGGGCAGGGAAGAAAAAGGATAATGCAAAGTCCTTTCCAGTTTCTCAGGAAATTCTAGAGGGAAAAACATTTTCTCCTTTTGATTAGACAGCTTGTATGTTGGGGGGGGGACGGGGGGGGTGGCAGCAGGAGTGACTACATATGTACACATATACAGATTGAGAAGTGATGGGATTGCAATTTTTGTAATTACCAGAATCAATTAATTTTTCCAGTAAAAGATCTGGTCACCAAATAATTTCCTCAAAACTTTCCATTTCATTCACAAAAAGCCTTTTCAGAAGGAAAACCATGACAAAAAGTTTTTTCTTGATGAGCTCTCTGTGACATCGCTTATTACTTTGTATATTCTTTAAGAGCACACATCATCACTTGGAAGGGGTCTGAACCTGAATCTGAATCCAGCTGGGCTTTGGGTAAGTAATGAGTTGAATAATCACATCCAAATCTCCTGCTAGACTTTTCAGATTCTGATGAAATTCTGAACTGAAAGAAGTCTCCAAAAACAGCTGTTCTCATGGGTTTTATGCAATTAGGTTATAAAAATCATAGCAGTAAGATAGTAATGTGTTAGCAATATTGAACCTTAACCCCAATGCTTAGCATAAAAGAATCAGGATCTGAGATCACTTTTTTCTGTTCAGTGCAAGGATAGCTCAGCTAGGCTGTGCAATGAAATACAACCCATAGCCACCTGCAACTCAGCAAATTGAGCAAGGAAAATGTTGAGTCAAAAGGCCTTTCTACATCTTTCTATTCCTGCCAGTGGTTTAATGTGTGTATGTTATGCCAAGTCAGCTAGACTCAAGTTTTCAGATTCAATCTGTGATTTTGTCCATGTTTTGGAAGTGTTGATTGGTTGCACTGAAAGCAGTATGAGCTATAAGTTCTCAGCACCTGTGAAAAGGAGCCCTAAGTTTCTCAAATTCAGTTTCAAAAACAATAGAGCACCTAAAAGTAGAACTCAGTGGCGACTTCTCATCAATGAATATAAATATCCATGGCTTTCAAAGAGGTCCAGAGGCACAGCACTCAGTATATCAACATGGGATTTGGAAGACCGGTGTTCAGTTGACCAACTGGCTGCAGTCAAGTAACTTAACCACAACTCCCAACTGATACAACCATAGCACTAACCAACATCATGCACATGTGGTAAGAATAAATACGCTGAAGGCTGGGAGGTTCTCTTGTTGCAGCATAGGAGCTGTTCATTTTGTGGGTGGAATGAAGAAATGACACAAAACTTACGTATGGCTGGGAAGAAAGTTAAGAGTCACACTGAAAATCACCAAATTACTCTGAGGAAATCTGAAATTTCTTAACAATGCTATGTATTCCAGAAAATTATTTAAGAGAGCCTTTCTTCACTGTAAAAATATTAAAATGTAAACATTTTTTTCTTTTAAGAAAAGTGTATTCACTGCATACCATAAGAACATTTACATAAAGAAATATGTTTTCTACTGAAGTAAAACTAAAATAGCTACTCAGTAGTGCATTAAACAACAATAACAACTACATATCTCCCAGGCAGTAAGAACCAAGCAACAAAGAAACACCCCTGCCACTTTCTTGGCTTCACACCACAATTTAGGGATGTATAAAATAGCTTGCACAACATATTTCTGCGGATCCCTAATTGGAGGTTGCCATGGTGGCAGCATTTGACCCAGGGATCTTCAATACTAAACTACTGTTCAGCAGTAACAAGCTGTCTTCAGGATTAGCCCCTCAACCTAGCCACGAGACACAGCTTCAGGACAGACTAGCACTTGCTGAGGCTGCAGAAGCAATGGTGGGGGGATCAGGGAGCTTGTGTTAGAAGGAAAGCGGCACATATTTCTGCTTTTAAGAGACAGCATAGGTGTGATTGACCTCTCAGTTAACATTAATGCAAGGCAGGAAGGAAGGCAGGCCAGGCCGGGCCCTACCTGTCAGCAGGGAGAGCGAGCAGCCGTGCTCTGGGCACCCGGTCACTGCCGGGCTGTCCTGCCGGCACGGCCCAGCCACGGTGATGTCCCACACACCTCTGACACCGAAGTGGCCATAACCCATCAGGGCACCCCGTGCTGCGCATGAGGAGCAACTCTCCCCCTCTTACCTCAGGGTCTTTCTCTATCTCCAGCCCTGCTTCCACCAGGTTGCGTTCATACTCCTCCCGCTGCAGCCGCTTCTCCTCCTCCAGGACATCCGGCGGGCCGAGCTCGATCACCTCCTCTCGCGAAGGCCCCGGCCGCTCCTGCGGGGCACACCGGCCGCTGGCCTGCCGCTGCAGCTCAGCGCGGCCCTTCCTGGTCCCTCCATTCGAAACCAGGGCCGAGGAGGAAGATCCGCGCATCGGCTTTGGTGAGCCCGCACCAGGTGGGTGACGAGCGAGACGCTTCCGGTAGTGGTAGGTTAACACATAGTCGACCTTTCTCTTGCTGTCCCTGAAATGCATGCCGCTTGGGGACACCTTGTCCACAGCCTCTCCTCCTTGTGTCCTGTCCAGGTAGTTGTTTATAATCTGGAAGAAAAACACACAAGTCTCACAGACAAGAAAGCCAAAAAGTCCAAGAAGAAGGCAGGCCAATGGTCTGTCTCCATACAAGCATGTAAAGCTGCACAGAGTCAAAACTGGAGGTCAGCCAAGGGTAGGTATGACCCACAAACATGCACTTTGCAGATCAGATTAAGTCACGCTGATGTCCTCTGACCGTAAATAAATGAGAGTCGTTAAAGATAGTGGCCTCATCCCAGTGCATGGGATGCCTACCTGACGGGCCAGTACAGAGATACATACCAACTCTGTCTCTCTGTCCTGCATGGACACAGACCATACAGGTGAAGACAGATGCATTTTGAAATGGGATGGATGAGTGAGAATCAGGCTCACGTGACAGACTGGGATATGAAAAAGGATGTGCTGTGGAGCAAAACTGGGCAGGGGAGGGAAGAAAAGACTATGTGGGAAGAAAGGGAAGAAACTGATCTGAGCTAGAATGGGAGAAATATCCTCAGCGTAGTACAAGGGCAAGAATGGTAAGGCTGGACAGAAACGCTTTGGAAAATACCAGGGATTAGAGAAGATACACCCCATGGATGGCTAACAATGTTAGCTGACATGGGTGGCTAACAGCGTTAATATCGATGAATTATGAAAAGACTGTGTGACTGACCAATAACTCTGCAAAAGGAAATCATTCAGATCTATTATGTTGCTATCAGTCTCCCCCCTTAATTCATCCCTGCCTCCTCGTCCCCACCCTCCAAACCCTTCTGGGGTGAAGCTTCTCCAGAACTAACCCCTGCCATCACATCCCAGCCTGGACGGCAGTTTGGCAGCACCCATGCTGAACTCTTGATACCAAACACAAGGCATTCATGTTCACTTCTTGTTCACTAAGATAGCCCATATGTTTTCCAAAACTGTTACCAACCGCCATTTCCAGCTCAATGCTGTAGCCTAAAACCCTTCATGGAGCTCTCTACAGTGTCATTCAATAAAGTGACACCAGCCCTCCAGTGACTGGGAAACAAGATACAAGCAAACAAATGAGGTCAACCTGATCCAAAGCAATCAGCCCATAACCCAATTCCAGACTTTTATGGTTCTCATAGGTGTCTATACAAACAAAACCTTGACAGGTACCGGTTACAGATTTCTTTCTCTCCCAACCTCATCTTCCATTATATACATTGGTAGCCCTAAATGCAAAGTTAACCCAACATGCTGTATGGCAATTTTCTCATTTGTTAACACAAAATGAATTTTTGAAGGTATTATATAAATGTGTATATTATTATGTACCCGAACATCTCCCAGATTCCTGTTTTTCATTGCTTTGCTTCACTTACTTTCCCACAAAGTAGCTTTCAGTCACCATATCACTAAATAAATCTTGCTTTTATATGCATACTACGTCGTTCATTCTTTCACAAAATTATCACCAAATAAGCTGTTCTGCACATTACACTTATCACATACTTTATGGGTAAAGTGTATATATAGTCCCTTTAGGCATATCTAAACTTATACTCAGCACTACATTCTGGCAGAATATAAAACTGCTTGGGACACTGCTTTTTATTGCAATTCCCCATTTCCTAGTTAGATACGTTTTCATGTAGTACTCACAGGCAGTCCATGCAACCCTCCTGGATCCATCTCTGCCACAGTGTAGAAAAACCCGTTGCAGATTTCTACACTCTCTTCCAGAGAGTTTCACGCTATACAGCACAGAAGTAATGATGTCACTACCACCAAGTCACTGGCACAATGCAATGCATTAGCTGCTCTAGAGAAGATGAGCTCTAAACATTCTCTCCTCCCTTACTGGCAAGTGTGGGCAGAAATGAGAAGCACAAACAAAATGCGGGAGAGTGAACAACGAGGTTGAATAACATGAAATGTCACTAAGAGGTTTTCCTGTTTATTACTGTTCATAGCCAGCTGCCACATCCCAGCCACCTGAGAGAGCACCATAGCAACATTTGATGTTGCTGGTTACACAGAATAATAGGATGAGGAGATACAACAATGCCCCCCTCTCCCTTCCTCTCTGTTGACTCTTTCCCTCATTCCTGGCAGCAAAATTCCACCCTCATTATTATGGGTTTCTATTGCACAGAAAACATATCAAAATTCACACAGATTTCAGTAAGGACATTTTTTGGCCCAAAATTTGCAGTACTTTCCTTATCATGTGATATTCTGATACAAGAAGATCTTATTAAGGAGGAACATAAGTAAGTTGCAATTTCCAAAATGTCACTGAAGGAACTATCAAGATCTTTTTATCCTCCCCTCTCACAGCCATTGAAAAAGTCAGAATCAGTGATTTAAATCACAGTCTTCAGTCCCACATTGATTGCTTCTTGACATTTCCAAGACAATCATCCAGCACACCGAGCAATAAGAAAAGAGGTAGAAAGGTAGGATTGGCATTTCATGACAATTTTATTCTAGTCCTCTAATAGCCAATATTAGAGGTGTCTCCTCTAACAACAGCTCTGCTCTGAAAACCACATCCACACTACACTTCCAGCTTCCAATCCAGTCCACATTAATCCCTGGGCACGTGATGGCCCAGGGTTTGTACAGGGATAGCCAATTTTGTCATCTGCCTGCAGATGTCTTCCTGTACTAGACGTAATAGCAACACACCTATTCCTGCTCTGTAGGATTTTAGCTAAAGCAAATAATTAAGAAAAGCTTGGTGAGACCACTACAGTAGCAATTAGTTCTTGCTGTACGCTAAGAGAGCCTACTGAACTACTTAAAGCAGTAGTATTGGTTTACTTGCGTAGTTGCTTTGCCCGTTACAGTGTGGATTTGCCTAACACACAGGATGAATGTATTGTGCTCTGTTCACCCAGATTCAGGCCTCTTCCTCATCTCAAAGGCATTCGAGGTAATTGAACAAACATGAAATCCTACTTACAGAACTGCTGAAGGACTCCATACAGCTTGGTGCTTCAAAAGATCCACTGAGCCTGCTGTTGTGCAAGGAAGTCCGGTTCTGAGGAACTGTGAGGTATTTGCTGTTGTATGGTGAAAAAGAGTCTCTTGCTGATTTTGCTGTCTTCTGTCCATTCAGAGTTGCACGTGAGGAGGCTAGAGTAAAGTCTGAGAATAAGAGATAAGTATTTTTATATAAAGCAGGTTTTGTGCAGGTAGTTTCCATAAAGGAGTAGGAAATACTGCAGTTAATAGACACTATTCAAAGCTGAAGCTGCACTTCAGTAAATGGAGAGGGGTAAATACAACTGCAGAGGAACAGGTACTTGTGTGAACTGCTGGGGATGGGGGAACAGTAATAATACAACACTGCGCTGAGCTCAGCACTACCCTGGTTGGTCAACAGCATTTGTACTCTTGCACTTCAGTCACGAGGTTTGGAGCTGGAAAGTCTGTACTTTGCAGCTAGCTAAGCACCCCCCAGGACATGAGCAAGCTGTACATCTTCAGCACCTGCATCCTGGTTGTCTGGGTGCAGCGTTTATGACAGATGGAAGCCAAATCACTACAAACAAACTGAGTTACCTTTGCTTCTTATGGCTTACAGCTAGGCCCGAAATGGACTGTGTTTCACTTCCAGTGTGATGTGAATAAATCTAGTGGCATCAGTTACAGATACAAACTTCTGTCTAATGGTCATTCTCCACCAAGTACTCATAACATTTGGACATGTAATGCTGTGAAATTCTCATAAAGTACATCCAGGTTTATACCTACACCTTTTGGCTTAAGGGACTAGCACCTTGAACCCTTTAGATGTGTTCCCTATCTCTTGTATTGATAAATTACATGGTCACAATGCAGCATAATGGAAGGTCTGGAGTAGGTGAGGCGTTAAATGTCACTCCCTGTTCACCACCACCACCACTGGTAAGTTATATCTCTGTCATAGAACAAGGTACAGCAGCAACAGAATACGACAAGACTACATTTTCTACCTGTGAACAAGCAAAGTCAATCCCATACAGGCAGTAGCACAGTAAAGAAATCATGATAAAAAATAATGGGAACAGAAAATGTTTTGACTTACAAATGTTTCATACTCTTTCCCCCTCTAGTGGTGCTGTAACTGAAATGGGGTGGACTGATCTTTTCCCATAGCTTCTTTGTGAAGCTTATTGGGGTGAAAAACTGGCTTGCTCTCAAGCATTAGTGTTTTCTACCAGAGAGAAGACATAGGTGTAGCAGACCTATCTGCCCACATAGGTAGCCCTGTTACCACTAAAGATACAAAGCACTATGCCTCTCAAGTCAGGACTTTTGTCTTCCCCAGGAATAAGAAATAATTGGAAGGTTTATTTGCTCCTACATATCCAGGGAGACACTACATTTGTAGTATCTCTTGCCTTCTTACCAGGCAATCCTTGTAATGCTGCAGTTCTCTTCCCCCACTTTCACCTTCTGTCTAAGAAAACAAGAAGCTTTAACAGCATAGTATATTTACTTTCCAGTCTGGGAGGAACTGCCATATGAGATTTGCTTCATGGTGTTGTGAGAAAGTGATTTTGCCTTTCTGTGTCACAAGAAAGCACTGTAAAATTTGAACAGTACCCTCCACAACTTCTTTATGGTGATCGAGTCAGGGGGACAGGGAAGGCAGGAACAATGTTTCTTGCTTCATGTGACTGAAAAGTGTTTCTCCGTATTGCTGAAACAGTCAACTAGTTCCAGAAATACCTTGCATTGCATCTCAAAAGACAGAGCATTGAAGGAGATGGCTGTATGCAGGAAACCTATAGAGTTATGCAGTGATCATCATCAAATAATTCAAGGAAAATCTAAAAAGATCCATTCTTATATATGGTGATAACAAAACTTTATGTCTCCTTTTTTTTTTTTTCTCCCCAAGGTGGGTGGGTTGTAGCAGTATATTAAGACTTTCAGATTTTATTTCCCCCTTACTTAACTGAATCCCTTCATTTGTTTTCAAGAATCTAAGACAGACGTTGTGTCCTATTGCTAATCTTCTATGCCCTCTACAGAGGCTGAATCTACTTACCCACAATTATGTACTGAGAAGCCACTAAAATGCTAAAGAAGGAAATGCACATAAATGTTATGATTATTCTTATGCCCCTAAATGTTATGATTATTCTTATGTTTCCTATCAATAATAGATTAGGGTCCTACAGCATTTGAACAGTAGATTGATTCACCAGTCTTTCTTTTCTGATCTCTCAAGGACACTTGTACTTGGTTTACTTTAATGAAGCTGATAATGATGCCACAAGGGAAACTCCAAGGAAAATAATTAATAAATGAAGGTTTCATTCCCAGAGGCTACACAGTGTTTCTCCAGTATTTTCAGACTAAGCCTAGGATATCTCACAAGACGTTTGCACAGTCAATTAAAGACCCTTTTTTTTTTTTTTTTTCCTTCCCAGTCCTTTTAACTGAGCCTAGGAAAAAGTCTGTGGTTCATTTAAAATAAAATTATTTCATTTCCATTATGCTTCCCAACCTTCAGAATCTGTGTCACGAACTTGAGGTTAACACTGGTAAGCCGGTGAGACAGTCGGGGAATTCCAGTCAGAATAAGTTTTTTGATGGAAATGCAATTTCCATGTCTGAATTTGGAAGACTTCTGTTCTCCCAAAAGATTTACAACTTCCCAAATCAAACTGACTGAACCAAAACGTTTTGTTCTGAATGAGTTCCACATTTGACAGTGCTTGTCTGTGGTACTGCAGTGCCTCAGGGGCTTCTGCTTCAGATGCTGCCTGACCTCATTCTACCCTGTAAGCCTTTACGACATCTGGCCTTACATGTTCTCATTCTGTAAATATTCTAGAGGAATTAGTATCAATAGAAACAAGCTGTGTGTGTGTACGTACGCGCATATATATATATATAAAAATTTTTATACATGCACACATGCATAGCTTTGGTACGTGTGTGTATATATATCTCCCCAGACAACAGCAATAGAGTGAATCTTAAATTCAGCTGGGAAAGCAAATGCTCAAGAACTACAGCCATTCTAGAAAAATAGCCTGGGAGCCATCCCTCCAGTCAAACTTCTTTAGGTTGTAAATGGCCTCCAAGGACAAGGTACCTCCAGCACAGACGTCAGTGACCAACTCTAGTTCCAACACTAGATCACAGCCAGTAATCATCTACTTGCTCACTCTGCACTTCTTTGCTTCGGCTTTTTGTTAACCTTGAAGGGTGGGCCGCATGTGCACCAATTGACCTCACTATTTGAGTTTCCAATTCCTTCAGCATTGCATTATAGACAAGAAGCTGCACATATAGCCAAAAGTGGAAGGACTGAGAGGGTGTATTAAAGGACCATTCCATTTGTGAAATATGCATTAAAGGAGTCTACCTAATTAGGAGCTCTGTATTAAATCCTGAGCAACAGCCAATTATCCGATCTGAGTGGTCCAGATGGTCAGATTATCATACACACAACTACTTGCAGAATACATTGTAAATGCTTTGGCCACCCAGGGCACAGACAGTGGCCTGCTTTCATTTATCTTCCTCTCTTTCCAGTTAAGTATCGGGAATGGGCTGCATTTCTGAAAGACACCACAGTCAGAAGTATATCTGTACTCACACAGACTCTTCTGCAAGGCTGTTCAAAACATCTGCAATTCAGGAGCATTGTTTGGCAAACTTATTATTCCTTCCATCCCCCAAGTAGGTATGAAAAAGAACTACCTGAGTTTATTGTTTCTTAACTATACATAACTTAACTATACATAACTTCTTTAAAGGAGATACATATAAATAAAAAGATGTACCATGGTTATAGGCATGCTCTTTAAGTCCCTACTAAGCTAATGACATCTCAGTTCTGAACATGCACACCTAGAATTATTGATTTCAATACAGCCCATCACACCTGTACAAGTATGCAAGTATTTTCATCGTACTGCAGTTTCCTTTTTGAAGCTGCCAGCCTTTGTCGCTTCAAAAATACCACTTATTATTTAATATTTCAATTCTTATTTATTTTATTATTATATTTCAACCACTTATTATTTAATATTTCAATTATTATTTAATATTTCAATTAAAGATTTTCAGACACAAATGAATGCATGTTAATTAAATAAGCCTTGGTCAAGCTTAAAGGAAATGTCCATTAGAATTTCCACTAGAGGAAATGTCTAGAAACAAATTTTTACATAGGAAATCCATTCTTTATTCAATATTACTTGAAGGAAAAGTCCAGTAGGTTTCATTAAAGGTAATTTAGATTAGTGCAGTGTTCTCAAACTTCTTATTTGAATAACAGAAGGATAGATTTTGACCATTAAATTTCAGATATCTGCTATTTCTTTCTGCAGGATGGTTTAAGAACTATTTAGATGTTTAGCCCCCTAGTACTTAAATGCTTCTACTAAAATCAGTCCCATAACTAATCTCAGTATTAGACAGTTTTCTCTATAAAGACTATTTCTTCTCTGATCTTATTTTGGAGGCTGGGAAGGAAAGGGGAAACAATGTTATGTATGGCCAAACGTAAAGGGACACAACTGAGATACTGATTCCTACCCAAGAGATTCTCCTTGCTGAGTGTCATCCTGGAGGCTCAGGATGTGGTATTTCAAACTGAATGTTGGGATGGGGTCCAGACACGCAGATACACCCAGATTGTCAAAGGCATTAAGTCAGGGCTTCTCATAGGTGGTTTTACCCTTCCCATCTGCAGTTTGAGAGGTATCGTATAGTCAAACTGCAGGCTGCAAATTTGGATCTCTTGGTGGAAACTCAGCTGTGTGGAAACAGGCAGGAAATGGAAAACCTGAAAAATTTTCTGATTCGAGCTCCACTTCTTCCTTCCTTTGGTTGCATATCCAATTCCATTCCCCGGGAGGTCTGTTAGCCCAGGGCATATGGCTGGGACAATGTGATGAAGATGAAAAGTAGACAGGGAATTGTGTGGGGCTGTGCTGCGTACCTTAATCCTTAGCAGGACTGGTCCATCTCTGATCCTGTCTTAACCACTGTTACTTCCTCCAAGTCACACCTATACTTCCATTTCCCAGAAGCTTCCTCTAAGTTCCTCCTCTCCATGGTAGTCTTCATACCCTCTAATCTGAAATTTGCTTTAATTGCTGCATTAGAAAACATTGGAGGCAATCCAAAAAGCCTTGTCTGTCTTGAATTCCTATGATTCTTAAAAGGCACTAATGGTAGTCTTGAAGACACAGTGGAGGAAATCACATTCAGCTGTAGCTGTGTTGAGCTTGGTGGAGCTGTGCACAAGAAGTAATTCTGGCACAAGTCAAGCTTCTTGCCATATTACCACGCACTTTGAGACTATAATGATTCTGGAAGCTACTAATATGTGGTAAACAGAGTGGCTTGTCCATAACCCTCTAGCCCTTTGAGTGAACGCATAGTCACTGATTCTTTGAAGAATTACTGACACAAAGAATAATAACAATCCTCTTACAGTAATTTTAGGGAAAAGGAGACCTGTAGCTGTCTCCCCACAGGGGAAGAGGAGCCTGGAGCAGAGCATCATAGGGAAGAGCAGTGAGTGACCCTGCTGACAGGGAGCCCAGACACAGAGCAGCAAGTCCGTGTTAGGGTCAGGGTTGGAGAAAGTGATCAGGGTCGAACACAGCTCAGTGATTCCCCAGAAAGGCTGCAGTGACCAGGCAGGTCTGAGGTCAAGCTGGGAAGCAGAGCTGCTGGGTCTGGGTCAGGGCCAAAGCAGTGAAGATTCGAGTGAGTGCAGAGGTAGCTACAGCTCAGCTGCAATGTAGCACAGGCAGGGGCAAGCTGTAAAGCCTCAGCTTAAAAGCAGATCCCAAGGGAAAGGAGGGCAGGCTCTCACTTCCAGCTTTCTTCATAACAGCTCTGGCTGGTGAAGGAGCAGGCCTTGGACTCAGACAGCTAAATTCTTCAACACGGCCAACTAAGTGCCTAGAAGGAGGATGCCCTCTGGGCCTTGACAGTCTGCCCCTGAACTGCTGCCAGAAACAACAGCATTGCAGCACCTCAGACAGACAGGGGCAGGCAAGAGGGAGCACAGCTCCCTGCTGGCTTGGACTGGCCTGAATAACTACGGTCACAGACACGAATGTAAAAACCTGTGGTTGTGCTCCTTTGGTAGCCCCTTGTACACAGGAGCCATCACCTCTGGCTTTAGGAGCAGGAAAAATGTACCTGAGTTAACAGAGATGCTCACTCACCTCTGGCACACGCCATGAGCTAGAGAGTCTTTTAAAGGGTGGAAGACTGTGAACCTGAATGGTCAAGGGTGAGGGAAATAGAGTAGAGCTGTGGAGATAGATGTGGGAACCACATGATATAAAACAAAAACCTAAGCCACTGTATGAATGTTTGCATTAACTGAGACTTAATGGAACTATATCTACATAATACAACTGTGTGTATAACTTTACATACTCTTCTCCTAGTTTTGTTTGTTTGTTTGTTTTGTTTGGATTTTTTTTGTTGTTGTTTTGGATTGGGGTTTTTTTTGTTTGGTTGGTTGTTTTGGTTTTTTTTTTAAATACTCTACACGTAAAGATTACAGAAAGTACCTTATTTTTCTGACATAAAGTATGTATCAGGACTAACTCTGACAGTGAAGGATCTGAGACAGTAAATGGACACTGGAATAACTCAAAGATCAGCAGTAGGCATTAAATCTAATGGCTCTTTGCACACTGTGATCTGCTATACAAATCATTTTAGGAAGGGGACAAGATGGGAAAGCACAGAAATAGTATGATTCAGTGAGCTGTATGATAGTTCAGAATTCACAGCTGGAGCTACGGCTCCAGAAACAATGAGATAACGTGGAAACAACTACAGAGCTTTTGACTATAGTAGTAAAGAAATAGTGACACAATATCATCACTAAACATTATCCTAAACTTGTACACTGGGAACTCAAAAACAAATGTTTTATGCACTGAGCAGATTTTTTTCTTGTGTATGGGAACTGAAAATTCACCGCTGTGCATTTTTTTTTTTTTTTGAAAAAGGATATTGCTCGTTCCCCCCAGTTGTACTGCAATAAGGCAAATGCAGATGGAAACTGCAGAAGTCTAGCACAAAGCATTTACCTAGTGATTGTCTTTTCCACATGGATCATGACACTGACCCACAGCTGCACTCCTGAGGCTTCAGAAGAAATGAACTCTGCATGCTTTATCTCTGAACTATCTGTGTGTAACCTGGGCTACAGATTTTTCTTTTATTAATTTGAGTTTTTGGTTGTTTTTTTCTTTTTTTTTTTTTTTTAATGTCCTGAAAGAAGACACAGAAGTCCTTTCAAAACATTCCTTTCTCTGTTCCCCACCCCCTTTCCACCTATTCAATAGGCAGCAATTAACAATGAAGCAGAGAATAAACTTACCTGGCATGTGTGTTTCCATGTTGCCTGGAGGTTTGGCTGAGAGTTGTATCAGTGCTAATAGGATGTGGCTATGCTGATTTTGTGCACAATCCTCTTCTGCACTGGTTTAAGTAGTGAACAGCACTGGCAGCTATTTCCATTCTGGCTTAATCCTGCTTTAAGCAAACCACAGGCTGAAGCTAATTAGTGAGACCTTCTGTTTTGGTGGTATATCATCGTGGAGGAAATAAAGGGAAAAAGGCAAAACTCTCATGACCTGAGAGGCCATGGCAATTGTTTGCTGGAACTTCAACATCTTGTCTTTGTGCTCCATAATGCCTCAACAAGCAATATAACAGGAGGCATATTTTGTCCTAACTCCCCAGAAGGCAGTGGAGAGGCAGCAGAGGAGAGGAAGAAAAAGACCTGATGTAAAACCAGGGCTCTATAACAGAGCCAATTCTGTCTGAAAAAAAAAAAAAAAAAAGTTATTCAGGGATTAGACTATCTTGCAGGTGGTTTCTGTGAGGAAGAGTGTCTTTATATCTGCAAAGCTTTACAGTGCTTCCAGGTAGGAGGTAAGTTCAGACACCTTTTTATAAGGCTCTATCTCAAATACTCAAGTTACCTTACTGCTTGGATACAGCACTGTCACTCCTGCATGAAATATTCAGGGGATTATCTTGTAATCAACTGTCTAATCGGAACAGGTGATGGATCCTGCTTAGCCTTCAACCTTACAATTTAAGCAATGTATAAGGAAGAAAAGTTGTTGGTGACTAATAGCATCTGAGAAAGGACTTTAATTTGCTAATTATAATTGGAGGGAGGTGTAATTATTTGGAGTTCAAAACTTTGTATTATTTTAGCCTATTTTATGACACCATGACAGATTCTCTAGTGTGAGAGGGGGAAGTGGATTTATTCAATGACTAAATAAAGTACAGTGTTTCTACTAACTTGTGAAGTAGGATCATGCTCTGTGTCTATATCAGAGAGATGTACTGATGCACTGTGGCTAAACTATCAAAGATGGTGAGTTTATACAGGGAGTAGTTTGGTGGTTGTGTCCCAAAACTTGGGCTAGTTGCTGTAAAATATTCCCAGCAAGGCTGACAAATATACATGCTGCTTTAAACTCTGGATGAATTGTCACTGGGTAGTGGTCCTGTTTAATGAAACAGCTATAGTCAGACCAAAGAGAATGAGATTAAATTAGATGACTGTGTTCATCTGTTTACTTTGGCTCAACTGAAGTGCCTCATGAGAAATTGTATGTGTAACCTACACTAATGTTGTATGCATGATTTTACATAAAAGGGAGAGGGGTTAGGGCCTCTGACTCCAGCTCAAACAGCTTTATACAGGTCAGTCAAATTTTTCTGCACTACGACTTATCCCTGACAAAAGGGGAAAAGTAATGATTAGAGTCTTTCTTTGTCCATACAGGGAAGACAAGTACATTAAATGTTACAGAATACTTTTTTAACACTTGTTTTAGTATTCACGTAGAATAATCTCTTTGGATAAGAAAAGTTAAATCACCCCACTCTTCTTAGTCCCTCCTTTGGAATGGCATTTCCTAATTTCTAAGTAACGTATCAACAGGTATCAAATACCTGTTCTTCTTACCCTGCTAGTATTCTATGTTAACCTCAGAACATCAGTTAGAAACTGCCTTCAGTTACAAAACAAGGGACAACATAAATGCCATGCCTTCTGGACTGACTCATCTAAAAGCCAATAGATAGCTGAAATTGAAAAAAAAAAAATAATATTAAAAGACAGGGGTTCTCAGTTGCTGTGTGTAAGCTCTCTAGCAAGGGGATGTTACTTCATATGGGCTTTTGTTTGCACACCAGCCCATGCACACAAGTTTTGAGGTGGTGTGCCTGTAATTATTTTGGTTGCATAACCACTGCATCCATTTGAACAAACGAATTGCACTTTGCTTGATCTCTTTGCTCAAATATCCACAATTGCACCGATCTCAATGTAGTTCATGCTTACTTGGTACAGGGCAATGGTGCAATCACACAGAGATCCTGGTAACTTCTTGCTAACAAAGTGGCATCAGAGAATACTCCAAGGGAACCAACTGTTAAACTATTTTTTGCCTTGATGTTTTATAACAAATTAATCTACTCCCTGGATAACAAACAAACCTACACTTTTCTCCGGGAGAAGGGGAATGAAAACTTACTGAAAATTATGGTCTTTTATATCCACATTATATGCTGTACCAACTAAATTCTAAAACAAAAGGGCATACCCACTGATTTTGGAATAGTATAGCAATGTAGAGCCAGGTCCTGCCAGGATCCCTGTGGACACAGCTCTGCCTGCACAGGTTCAAATTACTATCTCCTATAAGCCATAAAGATTGGTCCGTTACAGGTAATAGGGTTAGCTCAGGTAATAAATAATATACACAGGAGGCAATATGGTAGGAAGCAATATCCAGTTGGTTAAAATGGAACTGTGTCTGTTGTCTATTTTTAAGGACACTTTACGATGGAGAAAATCATATCTTGGCATCGCTGTGTTTCCTGAGGTACTTGGGTATGCTGTTAGTCGATAATGCAAAGCTGTGGCAAATAATACCAATAAACCAGATTGTGTTTCACCTGCTGTGGAGGATTGCTGCTTGCAGGTCTGTAAAAGTTAGCAGAGAGATTAGATGCTTTTAATATTTAAGTAGTTATATAAGACTCCTCCCCAAATCCATTTAACATTCCTGTAAATCTAGCCTGTATCATGTTCAATGATCCAGCCGGTCTTCTAAAGCAGTGGGACGTGCTCTGAACCCTTGGTGGAAAGGCAAAGACTAAGACAGTTTGAAACCATCAAGACTCACAAGCAGTATGTACCATTTGAAAAACAGTGTTCCTCAAAGCCTGGGTTCTGCTGGGGAATGCCAATGGAGCAGTCTGATGTACAGCGTTGTCTGGTGTGATGGTACACTGATACTCTTAGAGTACGCAGCTCTCTACTAAGCAGGTACGTGATTATAGGCTTGATTATGTTCTTCATTTCTGCCCGGAAAGAATGCTTCTGAAAATAGAGTTGCACTAAATGAAGCTGAGCTGTGTGAAAGGCAATCAAAACCCACATGGAGGAAGTCCGAGCCTATTGCCTTGCTGGCATCATGAGAGCCTTAGACAAAAGACAGCTCTTTTGGGGAAGGCTGCCTGAAAATGTTTGATTTTTATGCCAGCAGGTCAAGGCCAAAAATGTATGCACCTTCTCAGTCTGCTAAGGGAGATATTATAATATTCCATTCGTCTTGCTCTTTCTATGACAGGATTTTCAAGGAAAAAGGACCTTCTGGCCTTGAGCACAACAGGGCCTTGTCTTTGCTTGGAATATATAGGTACTAGCCAGGCCTGAATAATAACATATGAACCGTACAGAAATCCACAGAATGCTATTCTGTAAGGAAAACCAGCAAGTTCTCATCGAATGTATTGCACACCAGCTTTAGTTGATATGCTGGTACGGATGCCTGAAAGCAAGACTGCAAACAAAGAAGGTGAAGAAAAGCCATATAACATATTCTTGAAGCGATGTAAAATCTTAATATAGTTCTGTTTATCCAATTACACTGAGCTACCTCTGCTATGAGTTTGATCCCATAACCAGGCAGTTTTCCAATAAATAATCTGGACCTCCTTAGGAGAAAACAATAATTGCTCTAGTCTGAAAGCAAATATCTTTATTTTAGTCTGTTTCTCTCTTGAGACACTGAGATCCACAAGATTTTTCTTGTTAATTGAGGTAGAAGTGATGAAAGCAGGAATGCTTGCCTGTTTATTGGATAGATCTGTCTATCCACTTCGTTGCTGGTAGAAAATGCTAGCTGTGCATGTCTGCTTTTCAGAAGTTTCAAAAAACTGTGGCTCCATCTCTGCCCCTGTGGATGCTCCTGTGTGTCCTCCCCATGACAATAAGCTGGTGCCTGACGACTCATACAATTATCTGATTAAAATCCCTGTCTGCAGCCATGAAGCCTTAGGCTGCAATCCTGTCAGCTTTCATGAGCTAAGAAAGGTCAGGCTGGGTGAGGTCACCGATAGAAACAAACGGACAGCCCAGCGATGGTAAGAGGAAGAGGAAGACATTGCCTTTTACCCCTTATCCACTCCTTTTCTCTGGTCCTCTCTGATGTTGCAGGCTGCTGTGCCAAGAGTTGCTTAGTTGCAGCTTCAGACGAGCTGATGTGCAGCTGATTGAGCGACCCAAATCCATCTGTCAGGGAGCTTAATATCCAGAGCCAGCTACAACAAGGAACTAGCATGAGGATGGAGGAAAACTGGTGACAGAGATCCACTGCAGTATGTGGGGCTGGTGTAAATTAAAACGTGGTTCCTCTCCCTGGGTTTATTGTGATCCAATAGCAGAAGAAAGAGAGATGCATAGAAAGCCTGTACTTCTCCTAGCACTGACCAGCAATAGAGGATGTCCTGAATGAATAATAAGGGAAAAAAGGGCCTTCAATTCAATCTGTGTTGAATCCACAGCTGAATGGCAAAAGAGAAGAAGCAGGAATCTGCCTGGTTCCTCTGAAAAAGGAATACAGCTTGCCTTTTGAGTTGAAAGCACAGAGGGAGTTTTTGTTTGCTCCCAAAGGGAACCATTCATGAAGATGGGGAGGTGTTCTGACCCATTTAATCATGTGACATTGGCATTCATGTGAGGAGCAATAGTTCTTCATCTTAAAACTTTCCTCCCCTTGACCCAGGGGCAATGGTGACAATGTCCTTTGAAATGCCTTCTGTTACTACAGATGCCAACCTAAAAACTGCACAAGGATAACCTGATTTCCTGATCTTTTCTGCTAGACTTCTCAGGAGCACTCTTACTCCAGGACTTCTATATATGATTTTCACTAGTTCAAGAACACTTCTACTAGAGCTGGAGAAACTATAATTTTTTTCACCCATAACCTATTCCCAAGCCTCAGTGATTCCATCACAAACATATAGAAATTTTGGGGTTGCTGTCCCCCCTGCCACACCAATATACCTCCTATATGTAATTTATATATATTATTAAAACAAGCAAACAAATCAACCATAAAACTAACTCAATACAATTAGAAG